AGTTGTTCGGTTTTTTTTTCATCTAAAAAAAGCAACATTAATTTTTTGACGACCTAATAGTTCAAAGACAAAACTTACAGAAAGAACCACTCCCGCAATAAGATGAGGCACGAATAATATCAGGTCTTGTTAGTTTGTATCAAATTTGTTACCCAATATGAGCATGCAACAGGTGATACCACCCAAAGACGTGGAAATTCTGATCTACCTGGAAAGCTATAAACTCACTTTCGTGATAAAGGAGTCTTAGAAGGTGTGTGTGTGTGTGTGTGCAAACAATATAACACAATTAACCAATTCTTACCTATTTGGTTGTCATGCGCAATGCTCTCTCTTCCCACAGACCAGATTTTGTTCCCGCTGTAGCAGATCTGCGGGTTTTTTAACGTCTATTTCTACTATTTGAGCCCCCCCCCCAGTGGCACAGCGGCATGTCTGAAGACTTGCAACGCTAGAAACCGGGTTTCGATACCCGTGGTGGGCAGAGTACAGCTAGCCCTTGTGTAGCTTTGTGCATAATTAAAAACAAATCTACCTATTTGGTCGTCACTGCTATATGTATCTTTACCTAGTATGATTTTATTCAACTTTAGTAGATCGGCGAGTGTTTTAATGTCTAAAACTATAGACCAGTATTTACTGGTTTTCTTCTTGAACACCTATACAGATATATAGCATGCATATATTTAATAAAAGGACAAAAATATAAGATAACAATTCCATACAACAATTTTGATTTGCATATGTTCACTTTTGCATTAATATTATTTATAGAATAAGAAAACTAGTTCATAGATAGAAGAAATTTTAATTAGTTAAACTGCAAAAATAAATAAAAGAAAAGTAGTCGGTCATGGTAAATTATGATAAACATGCTGTGACTCTAAAGGTAAATACAATCTAATATACGGGATAAGCACTGAATATATAAAGTGGACAAAAGTGGCACCCATAAGGAATTTGAATAACAATAAAAAACACAATTATATTTTTGTTTATTGAAGTAAGTGTTCGAATTGCTGGCCATTAACTTCGAATCGACAAGAGCTTCGAAGTTAATAGCCTGCAATACGAATATAGACTTTTAAAAACTAAAAATTAATTATTAATTTTTATTGATATTCAAAATCCCTAGGTGTCGCAAGTTTTGCGCCACCCTGGATTTTAAGAGAATAAACTAAACCTTAGATAACTTTCAAGCAAGTTCTGTGTATCCACGAACGCCTTGAGAAAATGTTAACCTCGGTGATAATTAATTTGTATTCCGTTCCTTTCATACATCTAAAACAACGCTGTTAACCATTTTTTACCTTTGTCACTTTTGCCTTCCCTCAGTCTCCTTCTTTCCCAGCCGTAACACATATGCCGTGTTTTAGCGTCTAAAACCACTTTATTTACCAGTTTTTACCTTTTTCTTTGCAACTGTTATTTTTCGTCCGTAACTAACCTGTGCGGTTTAATACACTCACAGAATCACACCAGGTATTCATGGAAGTTGTGAGGTCACATTCCTGTGACAAGGATGATACACCCCCTCATAAGCACACACAGACTGCATAGACAACAAATTACTCAGTTGCTCGAAGGAAGAACACAAGCGGTTTTAGTACGGAACAGAGACCGATAGATGAACAAGAAATTACTGAGCATGAAATTTAAATATGGCCGTGTTACACGAACGCCGCTCTATAAAGTACTGACGCGGACTCATTTAATTCATGTCGTGTCATAGCAACTGATTTGGCTACGTTAATAAAATGTACACTAATCGGCAAACTTAGGGTGTGCCTTAATATTCATTGTCGAGACGAGATGATTCGTAGTAATAAATGTTGGTGCATTATACTTTAAAACTAATACGTATTCAAGAGTAAGAAAGTAGTGGTTAGATTACAAATATGGATAAAAAAGGTGATAAAATGACGCACAGCACATTGAAATAACACAACTATATATTACTTATATGGCTTAATATTTCTTTCGTTTGTCTTTAGTGTTTGAAGTTCTTTAAAAAATGGATCAAGGACGTGCGCAGGGATTTAAATTTGACATGGACAGACGTCAAAATTGTTAGTTGTATTTTCTCTCGAACTTAGATCTTTTTCTGCTTTTTGTAGCGGAAGGTTTTATATAAAAAAATTTAGATAGCAATTTACCAGATGGTTGATTAAAAAAAACTGACTTAATACTTGTTCAGTAGGTTTATTAGATAAGCTATGCGCGTTTTCTGCATCGGTATTATTAACTACAGCCTTTAAATACTATGTAGAAGTTTAATCCATGTATACTAAGTTCGGCGGTGTATTCAACTTAATGAAACTGAAATAAAGTTTTGTTCGTGTTTAAATATTTAGGATCGTATCTAATTACTAGCATATAGTCTGCCTTGAGACTTCGTTTATAAAATATGAAACGCCAAACAATGTCAAACTTTAGTTATTTTTCATTCCTTTCCACCGTGACTTTATATTGGATGGGGTTCATTGTCCCGTGATAATTGGTATGCATATTCGAAATAGTTTGAATGTAACTAACTCAACCCTATGTATTCCTTGTATACAGTCAAACCATACTATTAAGTTTTCAGAAAAATATTTTATTTTGTTTCATATACATGAAAAATAACTACAGAAACATTTAAAGCTTTACAATTATACCATAATATTGGAAACATAGTGTCAATGTAATCGAGACTTAAACATTGAAGCAGGGATAAGTGGCTCAGTTCTTTGACCGAATATAAAAAAAGTATTTTCATTATTCTGTTTCTTGTCTGTCTTGTTTTTCCAGCTCTGGTTCAACTAACCTGCCCTCGAGCACATAAACCAGACTAGAAGGCAGCAGATAACCCTACATATATCTCAGCCACAAATACAAGTACATAAACAAGTTTTTAACATAAACATGAAGCTCGACATGTCATTCGATTCATTAGTTTATAGCATCATCAGTAAGCTGATTCAGGATTTTCAAAACGGGGAGAAGAGTCACAATGAACTGATATTGGAGAGTCAGAAACTAAAGCCTCTCGGAAGTTTGAAATCTTTCTAAGGCTAATTCCTGACACTTTTCACTGATTTTTGCCTGGCACTCCATCTACAAATTAGCAATAATAAATCCGAATGACCAATATTTTCTGGTACCGTCGAAAACACGAACCTGTGTTGACTTATTAAGTAAATCTATACAGGTTAAGAAGAGTAAGAGAAAAATAAAATAAACGAGCAAATTTAATTAGCTCAGACCTTGCCTTTGGCAGATTCAGCTAAAAATTAGTTCGAACAATTCATTTACTAAAAACGCTTATTCTAAGAATCGATCACAATGTTATTATACATGTATTTCTTCAGTTTATAACATTAATGATGCTTATATAAATAGGTATATTCTGAGTTTGAGAGTGTACAACGTAAAGAAGCAGGATCTTGAAATGATCCCAGAACCAACTCATATAAAGTGCTGGTCACTGATAGGCTAGAGAGAGGGATATAAAATTTAATAATTATACCGATGACCTAGGTGGGTTTTAATGAAAATATCCTTCACGGCAAGTAGTTAGGGCAGTACTGGTGAGACATGCTGCCAGAGGGCGCCACACGTTTGTCGACCTCGAGGAGGGAGCGAAGAGGATGCAACAATGTCACCAAATAGTTCTACAAAGTGTCACCAGATGGCAATGGCGCCATGCAATGATATCATCAGAGAGGTGCTGGTTGCTAGATCTCCATGACAGGCGGCCATGATGTCAGAGACAATGACGCACACGTCATGTATCAACTTGTCTCAACATAACTATAATCAACACAATCAGTTTAAAACGCTAATTCATTAGTTAATTACATTTCCTGATCACTTATGCAAGTCATCCTGAAAAAGGACGCTTAACACGAATTTATTAGTTCTATACATTTCCTGACCATTTATATGTAAAACGTCCAGAAAAAGACATATATTTAAATACCATGCAATGATTTAAAAATTGGCTTTATTATATTAATATAACTTGACAAAATAATTCATTTACTGGTGTTTTACAAAGGTGGATGGTATTCTACATATACATTGTATTACTAAGGCAAATTGTATTTCAATGTGTCTCAACATGCGATTACGTCATCAATGTCCTAAGTACAACTAGTATTTAACAATAAAACTATTAGAACAGTGTTACATATGTCAGTTTTCATCACACATTCATATGAATCAAACCAATAATTTACAATTATTGTCAAAGAATTTTTTAAAACTATTAATCCATTAGTGTTTCCATGTTGTGGCTCTGGGTAATACTATATGACTAAATCATATTCCCCCAATGCTATTATCCGTCATGCTATCATCCTTTCCAGATTTTTACTATCCCTAGTTGAAGGTTTTAAAATTCCCAATTTTTTTATTTATCTTGTTATTATATTTTTGAATTATATTTGTTGGCCAGGAGCCTAGTGATTAGAGAATGCAGGCTTTTGATGGTTTGTGTTGTGTTGTTGAAAAAATTACTATGCACTTTGAGGCCATGGGTGTGCTATAACAGTGAGGCCTTAATCCCACTATTTAGTCAGGTAAGAATAGTCAGAGACTGGAGGTGGGAGCTGTTGGCAAGTCTTCCCTCTAGCCTGTCAGTTTAACCTTAGGGACAAATATGCACATTCCTTTCAGACAAAAACACTTTAACTGGTGGTGAGTTATGAAAGTAAAATTCAATCTCATTATTTGGTTATAAGAGTCAGACAAAGCCCTCATTAATACATGTAACGAATTTATCATTATGTATTCATTTTTAATATGAACGTTGTTTGGATTGAATTTGTATTTAGAAATATGTGACTTGTAGTCTCAGATATGTGTTGCGTATAACAAATTTGTTATATATTTATTTTAATGTAAACGTTTGTTTCGAATAAGTTTATATTTGAGGCCGTGTCTACCTTATCGTGTTAGTTACGTATGCGAAACTCCCGCCAATTCTCCAAGATTGTAGAATATTCGTGAACACAGGAATCAACAATATATCCACTTCCGTAGCGGTTTTATCCAAAGTTTCTAGAAAATGTGTCTCAGAGAACAGAGAACTAATATACAAGTCTGCTAGGAAACTGTTATAACCGTGTGTACGCGATAAGCGGTGAGTTTGCTAACCCTTACCAACCAGAAAATATACGACATTTGACCAGGAGCTGCTAAAAATTTCGAACGTCATTGAATTCTC